AGTAGAGGAAATTGGTGAATTCGACCTTCCAGATCAAATCCACCCTTCCACCGCAAATCAAGTGAAAGGGCAAAGAGAGGGAACCCTAGGGACAGGGCCTCTCTGCCTCGACAGACCCCAAGACTTTCATCGGATCCCCGGGGAGTTCATCCGACGTCCCCGGGGGCTTCATCGCTTGTCCCTGAGAGATTCGTTCAAAATTATCCTACGTCCCCGGGGGCTTCATCGCTTGTCCCCAGGAGGTTCATTCAAAATTGTCCTACGTCCCCGGGGGCTTCATCGCTTGTCCCCGAGAGCTTCATCCTAAATCTACACTAATTCAAAGAAGTCTCGGCGTATTCACCAGAAACTTCACGGTCTCCCCGGGACATTCATCAAGTCCACTAGAGAAACTGTCGAAAAATAGGAAAAACGAGAGTAAGGCAGCAGAGACTTACTTGGTACAACGGTTCTGAGAGGACGATGCGGCGGCGGACGTCTCGATGTAGAAGTTCGAGAAGCGCGACGAGAAGAAGAGGAAGCGTCTTGAACGATAGAAGTGAAAAGTGAGAACTGAAGCGGACTCTGTCCCATTTATAAGATGAGCACGGGACTCGAGACTCCCCTAGGCACTCAAACGCCCTTACCCCTAGTCGTCCTAGCTAAGCAATGATTGACTCGAGGCTCCCATAGGCACTCAAACGCCCTTACCCCTAGCCGTCTTAGCTAAGCAATAATTGCATGACACGTGGCATAACCAGATGCTTCACACCCATTCGTCTCCCTCTCGGGCTCGGAGATCAAGCATATGCGCTCGCTGTCCACCTCCTCGACATGCTGTCCCGTCGAGCATCCTCCGCTCCCGACCTGGTACACGACTCCCAATTTTATGCGTCGGGCAAAATACCATCTTTCGAAGAGGTCCTCGACATTTCGACCTTCCCTTAAGTCATTACTCCTCCACCTAGGAGCAACGACTTAGGGGGCTCCTGTTCTGGACTGGGCCGAATCCTGCCCCTCAGACGGGCAGACCCAAACCAGTACTATGCTGATAAGACCCAACAATGCCCAATCCTCTCTGTCGGGCACAAGCCTCAACAAGGCACACTAGTCAAGCAGAACATTATCTTGCACAGGGAGAGCTCACACGTTTTCCCCACGTTCTCCATGTGTTCTCCACGCGGGGACACGTCATCAGACAACTACCCACTTTCGGAAGAGTTGGTCAGCCCATCTTCTGAAGATCACGGGGCAGTTGATCCAGGGCGAAGACCACGTGCTGGTCTTCCCTACGCCACGTAAGCCCTGGCAGTTATTTGTGTTGGGCTTGGCAATCTGACCCAGTGTAATGTAACTGTTGGTCCTGCACTGGGGGTACATTATAAATACCTTATTTCACTAGAGGGTCGGGTATCTTATTCACTACACCTTTTCTATGTACTTGCTCTCTCCCTCTAGTTCCGTTACTCACTTAAACATCAGAGCATCTTGTAGGTACACCCCCTTCTCCTTTACAACACTGGAGAAGGCAGCAAGTCACGACGCATGGCAGACTACTGATTCCTTTCTGATCAAGTACGATCAGAACTTTAGTTTCAACTTTCTCTAATCTCTTCTAACAGTATTGCGCTATCTTCTCAACTTCTTCGCAGGATACATCTTACCTCTTCTTCTCTAATATCTTCTCTTTTATGTTTTTTTTTTTATCTTCTCATGTGCTCACTTTTAATTTCGTGTTTATTGCACATTCTTCTTTTCTAATCTCTTATCTCTTCTTTTCTTTATTTTGCATCTCCTCTCATTTTTATGCTACTAGGTGATGTTTTTGTGCTATGTTGTAATGTAATGCAGTAATGCTAATTGCTATTGTCTTGTAATGTAATGCACTAATGCATCCTATTGTCTAAAATTCTTTTAGTTATGTTGTTATTTGGTGTTGAAATGATTTTGTAACTTGTACTCATTGACATTGTTATTTGTTATTTGATAATATAAAAAAGATTAAACACAAATTTATGTTATATTATATATGTGTTTGTATGACTCAATAATTAAAAAAAAAAACTAAATCAACCCAAACTATATTGATTTGATTGAATTCGATTTCGATTTTATTTTTAAAAGTCAATCAAACTAAATCATATCATATACCTTTTTCTCTTGAAATTCGAATGACCTACAATACAAATAACACCAAAAATACTATTTAAAAATAAAAAAATTACATATCAAACATGAAAAAGGGTTTTAGTCTCTTCTATCATTTTTTATTTAAAATGAATGATGTGTTCATTTTAAAATGATATGATGAAATGTCAAACATGAAAAAACTACAAGAGCATTTATCGAACTTTAAAAATAAAAATATATAAATCACACATCATCAATATGCAATGCAAAAGTGCATGTGAGAGGGAGATAAAAATATTTGAAAATCTTTAAAAATAAAAAATATGTATTACATCTTATTAAAAAAATAATTGCTATTAATTTCTAATGTAAAAATATGAAAGAAGAACAAAACTTTGAATTTGAAATAACAAAACTAACATGTAAATGAGGTAAAATAGAAGATCACTATAACTTAGACAAATATTTAATTGCATAAGCATGAACTTGCATATGCAACATTACTTATTTATCTATTAAAATTATTTAAAAGATTAAATTTTAGACATTAAATTATTAAAAAAAAAAGTAGCAAGAAATCTTCAATTAAGTTTATACTACACTTTAACATTATATTTGAAACGGCAACTAAGAATTCAATAATTAAAAGGAAAAGAAATTCAAAGAATGGATACTAAATTAAATTCACAAATTTTATTATAATAAAAATCATAAAATAGAGAAAAAATGAGTGATATATGTGTTAGTTAAATTAGGTGAAAATATTAGTAAGAAATTCAATCTCCGACGAGCTCTTTTTTTTTTATTTTAAAAGTATCAATATAGGCAAACTATTATATTTATATATCAATATTTAAAAAAGATATATATCATTATGAATTAATTATGTTGTAATATATTAAAATAATGAATTTTACCATATAATTTTTAAAATTTAAAAAATGTTACTAACCAAGTTGTCGGCACAACCATTCAACACAACACAATACATACGTGTTTTTTTTTATTTGAATTATTTTTTTATTTATTTCTCTTTAAGAGAAGAAATTGTGCAAAAGAATATATTAATAGTTCTTTAAAAAAATAAATATACACAAGCCAAATTATATTGAAACGTCTAATCTAACACAAAGAGTATCAAGAAGGGACATAGAATCAAAGTATACAACAAAAATATGGATTAATTACCGACAACAACCAAACATGTTTCAAAGAAACTAAAAAACACAAAATCAATCTCAATCCATGCACAAAATAAAGATCACAAATTAAGAGCATTTTAGTGCAAATTCTGTAGTATTAAAATTTTTAATAATAACGATAGTTATAAATAATTTATATTGAAATAAAAATAACATGACAATTTTCGACAGCTATATAACTAACGTACACAATGACTCTGATTATTATTTTATTATTATTATAATATTAAAATATAAAATATGGAGTTAAATTTTAGTTTTTTACAAACAATCATTATTAAGATAAAAATAACTCAAATCAACTATAAATTTTTTAAATCTTACAAATCAGTTTGGGTCCACAAAAAGTATCTTAATTTATCAATTTAATTTACTCCCACTAAAGATGCTCCAACTATAATTTAGTTTACTCCCACTCGCCTAATCTATTCCATTCCATTCAATGAGCCTGTTTTAATTTTAAAAAAAAATTATATTTATGATATTATATATTTTATTTAAAAAAATTTATTTAAAAAATCAATTTAAATAATTATTTTATAATTTTACTTTAGACATTTAATGTTTTTTATTGTAATTTTTTAATATCAAATTTTAAAATTATTTAAAATTATTTTAAATAAAATGTTCTGTTGCAAAATCTGAAACAGAGAAGATTGCAAAAATTAAGGTGAAATTATTTATATACATTGAATCTCATAGAGCAAACTAGATGAGTGAGTCTTGTATTATTGGATCTTTGATCAACTCGGAATAAATGTCAAAATTAATTTTTTAATTCATAAAAAATAAATTTAAAAAAACTTTTAATATTATTATTTTTTTAAAATACAAGAAGAAAATCTATGTATTTTTTTAAAAACCAAAACAAAGGACACATTATTTAATCACATCCTATCAATTCAAACATAATTTTAAACTTGAAAACAACAATAATTATCAAACTACTTTCAAAACAAGTAGTAAAAAAAATTCTAAAAAGAAATACATAATTAAGTTAAGGTACCACATTATTAATTTTCTTTTGTACTTCATCACATAGTGATTTAAAAATAAAAATGATTATCTCACTTATTAAAAAAAGTGAGATTTTTGTGTTTAAAAAAAAATGTTTTATGAAAAGATATGCAAAAAAATTGAATTGATTGTTATTTAGAAAAAAAAAAGCAGATTAAAAATATGTATTTTTAGAATAAAATACTTAAATAAAATAAAGTTGATATTTTTGTTTATAATTTATAATAAGAAAAATGTTTATTTTTTTTCTTATAAATAATTACGGAAGGATTATATAGATATATAAAAATCCCAATCAACTCTAATTTTTCATCTTTTAACATGTATTATAGTATTAAAAAGAATATACTTTTTAAATAAAAAATAATAATTTAATTAAAACCCTATTTGAAAGTGTCTAACAATCTGAAATGAAACTCCTTTAGATATATATTTTCCCCTTTCTAAAGAAGCATATAATTGAAGACAAAAGTAGCATTATTTATACTCAGTTATATACACTCCAAATAACCTAATCTTATCTATCACGCTTGAATCTCATCATAGCATTACATTTACATGTGTGTGCACATATATATAAGTATGTGGTATGTAGCTCAAACACTCAACCAAATCTAGCACTCAAACAAATTGTTCTAGATAAAATTCATTAAGAAGCACTTGTGCATTATCATGGCCAAGTTCAATGTGAGAGGTACTAGTAGTAACAGAAAGAAGAGTAGAGGTAGCATTGTGAAGCTCATTGAGAAGCTACAAAAAAGGCTATTACTAGTGAGAAACAAATCATCATCAACCTATGTGCCAGAGGATGTAAAAGAAGGACATTTTGCTGTTATAGCAGAAGGTATGAAAGAACAAGAATCAGAGAGATTTGTGCTTCCATTGAGTTGTTTAACAAATCCAATATTTGTGAAGCTATTGGAGCAAGCAGAAGAAGAGTATGGTTTTGATCATGAAGGTGCACTAACCATTCCTTGCAAGCCTAGTGAGCTTCACAAGATGTTGCAACAATGGCAACATGAGGAGGAAGGTGGTGCTCATGAAACTGGTACAACATGGAATTCTTGCAATAACTCCATGGTTTTTCAAAACTACTGATAACTAAATAATCAGATGCATATATGTTATAGGAAATAAATGTTAGATTTATATTGAAGTGAGATTAAGTTATTTTAGTACAATCCACATGAAATACATGTAGTTAATGATGAAGAGTGTTTACAAGAATAGATAATATTGGATTGCACTTTTTGGCCTATCTCTTTCTATCTAAATGATTGAAAAACTAAGTAAGTTGTGTTTGCTACTATCATGAACTTTTATAATTAGATGATTATTATTGAAAAATAGTTTACATGATATGATAGAATTTGTATGGTGGAGATTGATGACATGCTTTTCATACAGAACTGAACTTGGCAATTGTTTAGTAGTAGAGATGATTTTAGATAATTTGAAGCTTCAAAACATTCAGATGGAGCCAGAGAAAAAAAAGTAGTGTTACAATATTACACAAATATTGAAATAGTAACATACTTCAGATGTGAATTCACTTTATAAGTTTGTATATCACAAGCACTATTTTTTCAGTCAGATAAACCTGCTTTTGCCTTTAGATGCTGCTTGAAATCCATAATGTCACCTTCCCATCTGGTTACAGTTTGATCAGCACAGACCCATATCTCATGAGCCACCTGATTTATGAGCCTAAAATCATGACTAACAAGTACCAAGCCACCATCCCATTCATTCAATGCCTCTGCTAAAGAGTCGATTGTCTCGATATCTAAATGATTGGTTGGCTCGTCTAAGAGAAGCAAGTGAGGTTGTCTATAGGCTAACCACGCAAAAATCACGCGACTCCTCTGTCCGTCGGATAAATTTCTCATAGGCATCACCTGTGCTTTACCCGACAATCCGAATTTCCCAATAGCTGCTCTCATCCTCTCTTCTTCATTTCCAGGATATTCTTTAATCATAAATTGGAGAGCAGACAGTTCCAGGTCTAGCTTTTCAGTCAAGTGTTGGTGAAATTGTGCAATGCGAAGGTGATTATGGCGACGAACCATGCCATCTAAGGGAACCAAATCACCAGTTATGAGCTTTAGGAATGTGCTCTTTCCAGCTCCATTGGGTCCAACCAAAGCAATTCTGGAGTCTAGGTCGACCCCGAAGTCAATGTTCTTGTAGATGAGATTATCAGGAGTGTAACCAAATGTTACCTCCACAAACTGGAGAACAGGTGGGGGAAGTTTACCCACATCAACGAAGCGGAAAACTAAAATTTTGTCTCTTGCCACCTTCTCTGTAAGTCCACCGCGCTCCATTTTTGCAAGAGTCTTCTCTTTACTCTGAGCTTGCCGAGCTAGTTTTGCTGATCCATGGCCAAATCGAGCAATGTATTCCTTCATTGAGGCGATCTGCTCCTGCTCCCATCTATACTGCTTCATCTGATTCTCTTCCAGTTCAGCACGAGTCTGAACATATTGATCATAATTACCAGTATAGAACTTCAGTTTCTTGCTTTGCATGTGGATGATATTTGTGCAGACGCCATTAAGGAAATCCTGGGAGTGTGAAACCACAACCAGAATACGGTCAAACTTCTTCAAATTCTCCTCCAGCCACACACATGCTTCCAAATCTGCAAAAATTTATTTAAAAAAAATATGAATCCACTTATTCTTTAAGACCAAAAATGTGTATATAAGGACAGATGCAATGAAAATAAAAAGTAAAACAACATTGCAAGATATCGAAGCTAAACAGAGAAAGACAGTACATTGAATTTAATCTAACCTGAATGCATAATAACTAAAAAGTGACACCAATAACTACCCAAGTTAAGATTATATCAATAAGTAGCCTTGGAAAAAAAGTGACCCCCATAAAGTGAGATGGTAATGTAGAAAGCAGAGACACATTGCAAAATTGATCAAAGAAATACAAGATGCAAATGAATGGATGTGGAATTCACAGCATAACCATGATGAATGATGATATAAAGCATCAAAAGATATATTCTTTTATCTTGATAAAATCCTATTAAATGCTCTATGAAAACAGCAGTTTTGTCAACGGCGGATGGCGGTCCATGGCGGAGAGGGGAAATCCCGCCATACCGGCCGCTTTGTGGCGCCGTTATTGCGAATTATGGCGGAAAAACCCGCAATAGCGGCCAATATTTACCATTGCGGCGAGCCCAAAAACCGCCATGGCGGCCATGGTGGGGCAATTTGATAACACTGGAAAACAGACACCAAGAAAACATTAATTAAAACTACATAGAAGCCTACTCAACAGACAAACTAGAATGGAAGGACTCAATAATATCCAGGTCTTTGATAGGCATATTTGAAACAGCATTAAAAGAATCCAAAGGAGCTTCAATTCAAAAGATAAGTGAGCTCACGATGAAAATCATCACAATGAAATCAATGGATAAAACATGACAAGGTAATAATGACAATTTAGTTGCAAATAAAGAGTTACTTATTTCAGGGAGGAGGGATACCAAGGTGATTGGTTGGTTCATCAAGAAGAAGAATGGTTGGGTTCATGAATAGGGCCCGTGCTAAAGCAATCCTCATTCTCCAACCACCAGAAAAATCACATGTCTTCTTTGCCTGCATCTGCTTGTTGAAACCAAGACCAAATAAAATTTCAGCAGCACGCTTTTCTGCAGTTGATGCATCCATAGCTTCCAGTCGTTCATAAACTCGCTCAAGTGCTTCACCACCGCCATCATCCTGGAACAGAAATTAATCAAGCATGGAGTCGTCTATAAAAGCAAATATCCGTGAGCAAAAAAATTCAGATGTCGTAGTACTTAAGCATACTTGTGCACCCAGGATTTCAGCTTCTTTCTCCAATCTCAACCTTTCCTCATCACAGCTAATGACAGCCTCCAATGCAGACATGTCAGATGCTTCAATTTCCCGGCTAAGGTGATAAATATCCATGTGCTCAGGAATAGGAAGTTCACGTAACCCTATAGCTGTGAGTAGGGTAGATTTTCCACAACCATTTAATCCAAGCAAACCATAACGTCTGAAAGGAAGTTATAGAAAACATAATCACCAACAAATATACAGTTATAATCAATAGCATCCTATTCAGAAATCAGAACAAATAAATATTAATGACAAACCTTCCATAGTTTAGCTCCAATTCAGAATCAACTATAAGATCATGTCCGTGGAAAGTAACTGATAGAGATTCTATCTGTAAATGCAGCATAAACCAATAGCTCAATACAATATACAACACTAATCATCTTAAATGCATTGAAAATTAACTGTATTTATAATTAGATGGCAGAAATATCCTTTTTATGGCTCAACATTGAAATATCACCTTACCTCTGAAATTTTCATAGTAGGTACTAGGTAGGTGTACATTCACAAAGGAGAATCGAGATTTTGATCTGGGCAACATGGTAGAATGTCATTGCTACCGGCCCAACTGCTCAGCTAGGTGTTCAAATACAAGCAGGCACCCATGCTAAGAACAATAGTTTAAAAGTAAGACTACTGGCTATCATTGAGAATGTCTACTCCAGTTTCCAAAAATATGGATTAATAATTAATGAAGGATCTGGGTAGATTGTCCATTTATCCTCTTTTTCGAGAGGTAGAATGCAATATGTGAAGGCAAAAGTAAGCCAAAACATTTTCAATTAAATAACCAAGACATGAATACTCTTTCAATTGAAAAGCCAAGGAAAAATAATCAAACTAAACTCATAAACTCACTAGTCAAGCCTAAATCAAAATAATCAAACTAAAGGCTATGTTTGGCTATCATACAGTGACCAGAGTGAAATGGAATGAAACAGAAGAGAGTCGCTCGAAAATTTTATGACAGGACAAGTCAAGTTGTTCATTCCGCACAAATGAGAGGGGAAAGAAATATATTGTCCTTCATTCCGCTCCGCTCCATCTGATTAAAAATGATCCAAACAATGAAATATCGTTCCATTCCATCTCATACTTCTCTGCTCATCCAACTCCATCTACCCAAACAAAGCCTAAATATAATCAAAATCAGAATGTTTCAAAATAAGGCTATCCTTAAACAGAGCAAAATGCATGAACATCAAATTTCAAAGTAACAAAGCCATTCAGCTCCACCAAGTGCATTCCTATCATCTCACTCTTCCGAAATCAGATTCTTTCTTTCTTCTAAATCATTTAAGTAATTATGTTCAATATCTTACTGTTCAAGCTATATATTTACATTAACCACTTTGAATTATTATCCCTACAAAGAACTAAACTAACCCTACATGCATCTTTCCCTCAACATATCAAACACAACGAACAAATCAACAAAATCAAAACACTGTACAATAGTCTTTTCAGTAGCAATTAATTAAATATAAATTAATCAAAAAAAGTTAATTAATAGCACTGAACGATGATCAGTTATTGCTCACCCGAATATCTCTGGAAAGGGGATGAGAACAGAGGACGCCGGTGCATGTTCGATCAGATATCTGAATATCCCCAATTCCGTTGGCAACACTGTCAACCGCTTTCTCCGAAGCGGTTTTGGATGAAGCAGCAGCGACAGCTACCTTGCCTCCTCTCTTAGCGGCGGCGGCGGCCTTCTTCTGGGCGGCCTTTTTCTTGCTTGCTTCAGACACCATTTTCAATCTCTAAAATCTCTGCATGGAAACAATCAGTTTCTTCTATAGAAACAACTAGAAATTTGAAAACGCGCGTTTGAATAAAAGCTGAAAAAGTTGAAAGAGAAAAATTGAAATGCAAACCTGGAATCGGGAACGTGAGAAGAAGATACAGATCAGTGATGTGGAAATGAAATAGCGGGGGTTTGGATTTTTAAGAGAATTTTTCGTTCTTCAGAGGTGGAGTTTGGAATATATAGAAGCGTCAGCTTCCACGTGTCTCTTCTACGTTTGATTTTGAAAACAAAAATACTAATGGAATGTTCTAGACTCGAGATTATATATATATATATATATATATATATATATATATATATATATATATATATATATATATATATATATATATATATATATATATATTATATATATATATATATATATATATATATATATATATATATATATA